TCCCACGGGTCCTCTGGCTGGTAGACACCTGTTCCGAGTGATTTCCTCCGCCACAGCTTTCCACAATCGAATTCGAGACCAAAAATCGCCCGAAGGTGCGCTTCCCGGTACGCCCCCAGAATCTCTAACGTCGCTTTCGGACCCCGTAAAGCAAGTCTGTGAAGCAGCGTCGCGCACGCCCTGTCTTCCGCTGTCGGACCTTCAGCAACGCTTCAAGCTGTCAGACCTTCCGCAACGCTTCCAGCATGCCCTCGGTTGCCTTCTCTGGCGCGCGCCCCCCTTCAACCGGCGGGGTCGGCGGATATGTATATCGTTGTCGCTGTGGAGCCCCGACTCGAGGCTAGCCATGATTGCCCTTTGCCAAGGCCTGTCAGGAGCTGGAGGTATCATGTCATTCGCATATCCCTCCGGTGACAGATCTGAAGGGTCGTCAGTGGACAAACAAATACCTTCCTTTGTACAAAAAGATGTATACATATGTATACTGTATATACATATATATACATCTCTCTCTCTCTCTCTATGCATGTGTATATTATATATATGCATTTAGTTATATATATATATATATAGACAGCCGTGTTTCTAGGTTCTTCGTCTAGCTTGCTCTCGTGCTTTTTCTGTCAGGTCACTCGTTTGTTTCAAGGGACGAGTGCTAGTTCACAAGGGTGTGTCAGAGAATTCAAAGCCAAAGCTTGCTTCAGTCTCGTAGGAGACAAGTGGTACAGGATACCAAACCCACAGAATGCAACCCGTTTGCAGCAGGCATATTTGCATATTTCATTTGCACCTAGGTTGCAGTTACAGTACTTACATAATCTATATATATATATACTGTATGTATAATTGTTCATAGCTTGAATGGAGGGATTGATCATCTTAGTTGATCCGGCCGGATAGGTGTGGCGTGCGCAGTGACTGGGCCGGTCTGGGGCAACCTCGTGGACAGTGGTGCTTCGAGGAAGTTTCTGCTGCAGGAGCCGGGTTTTCCGCCTATGGGGTTTGTTTGTGAGGACCAGGGGTCCAGCGGTCCAGCATGCAAACACCTGCTGTTGTTTACTGGGCAAATTGCACGCAAATTGCAAGCGCCACCCCAGTGAGAAAGTGGATCACAGCATTGATCAACTCATCTTCCCTAAGTCGAAGTGTCTGGGGGCCCAACGGAAAGGTGCCTTGTCATCACAGATATATAGATGTCGGTAGTCCACCACTTTGCCATCAAATACGACAATGCTTGGATGCAAACGCCTCAACCGCTCAACCTGCCAGGTTGGTGCTGGCCTGTGGGGCATTTGCACTTTTCAGCTCGCGCTCACTTCCAGCTTCACCACCATCATCGCTTTGAGAGCTCGAAGCCCAGTTTACCATGAGCCTGGAAGCCACGTAAGTAACTATTCGCTTTGGAGCTTCCAAAAATGCCAATTGTGAAAGCAAGCCATCTGAAGTTCCTTTGAAGCATAGAGCTGTGCAGTGCGTGCTCAAGAAGGAACATCTTCGCTTGACACATGCAGTTTCTGCACCCGAAATCAGGTCTTGAATGGAGCTGCCTTGGCAATGATCGTGGCGCCCCAAGGGTTCTTTCTGTGTGGTGAGAGATTGCGTACCAGTGATACAGAGTGATACAGTGATATATATATAGTTATATCATGTTATATCTATCATGTCCACGTGTAGGACACAATTATGGACATCACAAGGTGTGTAGGACCAGCCCTGGCTGGTTCTTGTCTTCGTTTCGGGCCATTGATGAGGTGCCAGTGGTCCAGTCGATGGTGGCGGACCTGACCAACGTCACCAACTGTGGATCGGCCTTCGGAAAGGTGACTGGGCGGCAGTCGGGTATGGATGTGGTGCGCCAACGGCCCGGGGGAAAGGTGGTTTTCGGAGCAGTTAGTTCACTGAGCAGTTGGTTTGATGATTTGGGTGGCTCATATGACGGCCCGTCCGGTTGAAGTAGGTGACTTGAAGTTTGTAAGTGAAGGGTAGGTGTCTCAGATCATGACTCCGCTTTAGCCGCACTTTAGCCTCGAGGGTGGGCGTTCTTGTAGCGTTTTCGACACAGCTATTCAGAAGGTGCCCCAGGGAAGGTAAAGACTTGTTCTTGGAATCTGGCCTGCCAAAGTTGGGGCTTTCAGTTCTTAGAGGATCTTCCTGTCGTTGCTGTGTGGAATCTATGGCCCTTTTCCATGCCCTGACTCCAAACGACTTGCGAGAGAGCGAGCGCAGGTCTCTTGTGCTCACAGTGTGGGGCAAGTCATGGCCTGCCTCATGGTGACACCGATCTCAGCACCTTAGCAGTGGAATGATGAAACATCGGACCCTCCGAGAATCCCACGTGTCGGCTGTGCAGTTCATTTGTTCGTTTGCTTTGCGAAAGGTTCAGGAGAGTTGGACGGTTTGACGAGCGGTGTGCCGAGGAGATGTGGCTCCATGGCATGCGTGGATGGAGATTGAGCTTAGGAGCCTTTGGACTGCTCAGCCTCCTCACAGTACCTCGGTAGTATATACGAAGGACAGGTGAAAAGGGGTGGCACTACGGGCCAACTATATAGTGAAAACATGGGGGTCTGGGGGAACAAGAGCTGTGATGAACTGTGTACCTCCGGAAGATGTTCCTGCAGCCGGGAAGCTGGAAGACTTTGGTAAAGAAAGCCCAGGGTGTAGATTCGTACTTTGTGGATCATGCAGCTCTTGCACGATCGCAGAAGAAGGGGAAAACAGTGGAAAACAGCTTAGCGAGAGGGCCACCGGGTCCCCAGCAAGATGCTTTCCCTGGAAGGGTCTCTTTAGGGTCAGCATGAGGTCAAGCTGCCTTCTGTCAAACAGGTGGGCCGATTTGTGCCCAGATGTCTTGGTTAATCTTAGTGATTTGTTCTGATTTGAGACAGAGTTCTCTTCTGCCTGTGCCCGCTCTGAGATCCCCTTTCTTCGAATCATGGTCTATGAAGAGCCCCGAGTCTGGAATCCAAGGCGGCTTGTTTTGAGTTTGACATCAGAGCCAAAGCAAGCCACGAACGTTTTGGCCTTGTTGAGATGTCTTCCCTCAGATCGGCGGATTCTTCCAACATGCTGGCTCAATAATTGGGTGCCATTTTGGATGACGCTCCCCAAGCCTTAATTTCTGTTGGATGGGGCAAATAATTTTGTCCTTGCCCATTCTGACATGAAGAGAAGGAGAAACATGGAGAAACCATGGAAGAACATCGGCCAAGGACTATGACAAACGACCACCCGCTGCCTGCCCATATATTCTGACTGTCCAGGAGATTTGGCATCATGCGGGAGCTGCGGACCATGTGGCAGTTCCTCAAGATCCGCTCCTTTACTGTGCCCACCTTGGATGGGATGTGGCTTGGGGCGGTCCTAGCATTCGGATTGTATTTGAGATCCTTGAGCCACAAGACTTCTGACATGCAACACTTGCGCGAGATGGATTGGAGCATGTGAATCCTGAAAAGCTGGGTGTATTTTTTCTGAAGACCAACCCAGTAACAGTTCATGTGGCTTTCCATGTTTAATATGCTTGGTGCCACCAATGATTTTCTAGAGCTGAGTTCATTGATATTTGTTTAGGATCGAACTACTGCCCCGTCACTTGCCTTTGGCATTTACCCCTTTGGATGACTCCCAATGGATACCACATGATACCACGCAACTAAAGTAGCAACCGTAGAACAAAACAAAGATATGTTTGAGATTGATCTGATGCCGATAAGTAGCAGAGGAGCACACTCTGACTCACAAACATGGAAATGGAAAGCCACCTTTTTGTAGAGGAAACTGGTCTTCACAGCGGCCGTTTTTGCACTTCCATGTTAGTGAGTCAGAGTGTACGAACAGGATGGCACCCCCTTTTCTCAGCAAAGCGTCAAGCGGGAGAAACTACGCCGTGCCCTTCAGCTGTTTCAGCTGCCTAGCCCTGGCGACCCTTTGCGTCCTCAATGGAACGCGAAGGCAGGTCGACCTGTCTGTCAATCTACCATTTGTTATTCAGCCGAAGGACTTTTTCACATCGTGAACAAAAGATTCGCGCGTGAGCTATCGTGCATCCTACCCAGGAGCTATCTTAGCCCTCAATTAAGTAATTATATAGGCGCCTACTTGATTATATAATTAATTGGTAGCGGGGCAGGCCACGGGCAAAAAACCTAAGGACAAAATAACAGTGTAAACTTTTGTGGGCTTGAAGATTGAAGAGCCATGCTGATTTTGCCAGGATGCAGCCAGACAGCGGCTTTTTCGGCTATGGCGATGAAGAGCAGATCCTGGGCTTGAAGTCACTTAGGGCACGGCTCAGACGGTGGAGTGCTTTGTGTCAATTTAGGATGGCTAGGCCGGTGAGAACCTACGAAGTGTGAGGTGGGGAAGATGGATCGCAACACTTTTTGGGCCCAATTTATTGTGGTTGAATGAAACAGACGGGTACAACAGCCGCATATGTCCGCAAGGAAAAGAACTCCTCCCGCAGCTTTGTAAAGCTTCCCAAGTCATGTTCTGGAAAGGCAAGGGAGGCCATGGTGAGCCTGTTCAGGCAAAACATGTAGGGACTTTTGATGGATCAATGAGTCTTGGAGATGGAATATATGTGAACACTTTCCAGTTTCAAGCTTCCTTTTGACAAACGTTTGTTTCGCCATTCGATTTGCATGACAGGAGCATTGAGGGACTTGATGTAGACCTTTACCATCCTTTACCAATCTATGCAACAACGAGTATGGACCAATGTTTAGTTTCCCTAAACACCTAAGGGCCAAGAAATTAGTGCGTGAGCTATCCTGCGTCCATGTGTAGTAGCATTAAGTAGCTAGTCGCTTACTCCCTTACATAACTATATATACTGTATATATATATATATAAGTAGGAGCGGCATAAACAAATCTTTTTGGGATGGATGGTTCCTAGGTCCTAGAGTTGGAGACTATGCAATTGATGGGATGGGCTGGCACGGAGGAACAGCCTCCCGAGGTACCTCAAGCCGCCACCCCCCTCGCCTCCGGATTTGCCGGAGGCACGCCGAAGCTGACTGGACCGTACTAGTAGGCAGGTCAAGACTCCTAGTAGCAATGGCCTCCAACCTAATAGCGATGGTCTCCATCCTACTAGCGATGGCCTCCAACCTAGGTTGGTGAGCTTGATTCTGATAGGATTAGGGTTCCTGATAAGGTTACAAATTCCAACAAAGAACAGCACAGAACCCAGAAATCAACTACCAGTTACTAGTGTACGTGATCCAGTTCTCTGTCGGCTTTTCCAGAGTCAAGTCGCTGGCTTGCCGCTCTGTAGGTGAAGGATCCATGGGTGCGCGAGTGGAAAAGAGCCTGTGACGAGAACAGGCCGTGGCTCCAGTTGGGCTTCACCGCCGAGAGTGGTCACTATCCTTGGTGTTCGCTGTGTGGCGGCTCGATGTGCATCGGATCACGCGCAGAGAGCGGCATGGTCGCCCATGTCGCCCATCCAAGGCAAGTGGGCGGGCGAGGAGCATTTGAACTCCAAGAAGTGTCATCAAAGGCGCGAGGCCCACAATATCTCCTTGAGCCTTGGAGTGTTCAAGGTTTCTTTCTTCATCTCCTTACTTACTTGTAATTAGATGTGCTAGGCCCCTTGGCCCTACAGCAGTTAGTTGATGTTAATTGAAGCTTGAATTCTATCAAAGTCTGGCTTGACTGACTCGTCTTTTGTGTTCCAGGTGCTCGTCCCCTCCTATTGAAGATATGTCAGATAGGCTTTAGTTTTCAAGCGCCAAGGGCCAATCATTTGACTGGCACCCTTTGTCATGCCAGAATGCGGCCCAGGAGCAGACATCTTCAAGATCTAATTGAAAAAGACGGCTTTGCGACAGGACGCTAGCATAGCTCGGCAATGCCCGGCATAATTGGGCAATTAGGGTGCTGGGTTAGAATATGTATGAATATGTGAACGCTCCAAAAACCTTTCTCCTCTCTCACATGTTTGTCTGCCCAAAACCACCCAAGTCCACCAGCTTCCCTTTCCGAGCAACTCTGTATCCACCTTGGCAACCCTGGAGGATATTCAGAGTCCCGGAGGCGGAGGGAGGTCACTGAGCCAGAGCCGGTGCCCGCACCGGCACCGGTGAGTGTGGTTCCTCGGTCCACCTGGCGGCGGCGGAGGTGTTTGAATTCATACTGCGACTTGGCACGAAGGAAGGAAAGGGAAGGAACGGCTTCTAGAGTCAGAACTAAAGATTATACGATCCTGCATCCCATGGGCATCAAACTGCATCGCCAGAAGGATTCGTTCAGCGATCCTGATTATCTCGCTACAGTCGCTTCTCTAAGGCACCTACCTCGCCCATCAACAACTCAGTGAGTTTGAAGGCTCGCCTGTTCTCAGTTCAGCTGGTCACAGATCCCGTCGACGCAATGCGCAAGTGTGGCCACCAAGATTGCTATTGTCCACTGCGAGGATCATTGATCAAGTTTCCTAGAACGGCGTTCAAAGCCCCTGACCTTTGCCAGGGTACTGCTGCAAAGCATGCCACAAGTGGGAGAAGGACTCGTGGTTTTGGAAGCGATGCCAGTCGGTACATTGCTACATGTCAGCTATCATTGTGCCATACAGATCCATACAGTAAAGGCCGAACTTAGGGGCAGTTTTCCTAGTTGGCCAAAAGCTACAGCTTTTTCAACTTACAACTTAGTCTAATTAGTGAAGCATTTATATAATAGTTCTGGGCCAAGGGCCCTCCTGCCATTACAGGAGGGCTACAAGAAGAAAACCAATCATGGCATTCGCTGCCAACGCGAGCAAGCGCCTGAGAGCTTTCCAGCTGCACCAGGCACCTCACTGGGTCCCAGTGTGGTCGGCGCCGTCCATGAGCACACGTGGATATTTCAGGATATTTGCACCCCTGGTGTCCCTGATCCTGGCTTGAAGGGATGGCTGCCGTGGACATCTCGTGGGGAAGTCGTCACCTTTGACAGTGTATTGACGCCAACATTGCGGGCAGGATTGCAGTCTTTCCTTTTGGAGAATATGAATAATATGATAACATGATTAATGTTGCACTCCTGGGACAACACATGACAGTACATGCAATAGAACCACAAAGGTCACAAAGGTGGAGAGGAGCCGTAAGCCCGGTTGCAAGACGAACATTCCCATGCTCAACCTCTAAGAAAAGGGCTTCAGGGCAAAGCTTTGGTCCTTCGTGCCACCAATAGTGTCACTTTCTTTCGTCGCATTCTCCAGATCACATCCTACCTTCCCGTTGCGTTCCACACGGTCACCTGATCAAATTTGCTCGTCCTGGGCGAGTGTCAACCGCCAAACTTCAGGTCCACCTGAAGGTGGAAACTGGGCACAAGCAGCACAAGCAGCTTTGCGGCCACAAGGATCTCATATAACGGAGAGAGAGAGAGAGAGAGATGTGTGTTTATAAGCATTTGACCTTACTGAGTATAGTGGTTCAAGCTGGGCACAAGCATGTGTATTAATAAGCATTTGCTTGTTGGTGGTATGTACAGTATATATATATAGAATATAATCCTTTTTGCAATGGAACTCCGACTGGCAGCTTGCCTCCAACTCGCCTGACCCTAACACCACAGTCACCACAGCATCTTCAAGTCTGATTTTCTCAGAGGCTGTAGTAGCTTTTTGCTACTACTAGTGCCCTTAGCTACTGGTAGCTTCTTGCTACTAGTAGCGATGCACTTGTTACTAGTAGCTTTTTGCTACTAGGCTGGCCATGCGCCTCTTCAGCCGATCGGCCACTCTTGCGCCCCTCAGGAGAACTCCCCGTCGCGACGCAGCGAGACCCGGAGACCTGGAGGTGTCCGGAGCCGAGTCCTCGGCGTTACCCTGAGCCAGAAGATGAACCCGATGACAACCAGGAGCTGCCGTACAGCACGGATGCTGGGACCAAAAACTGGCGGGAAGGGGGCAAACATGGGCAAACGGTGGTAGTATATAAATGGCAATAATTATGTAACACACATGAAGGTCATTCATATAGAATCTTGAGGACTTGAGGACAGGGAAACTCGATGGATCGGTGAGAAGACGTTCCCTGAAAATAAACCCTAGACTCTAGACCCGACCATAAACAAGGAGAAGCGGCTCCAGGAAAGCCAAAATCTTTCCTGGACTGCCATCTTCCAACTAGCGACGAATCTTCCAATACTGTTACTGTAAGGGACAGGAACATTTGCAACGGTTACCTCTGATCCATGGAATCCACAGCTTGTCGTGTGCTTTTATGAGCTTGTGAGCACCAGAAGGGCAGTAGGGAGCTTTGTTCAAAGTTGCATGGGAGCCACTGTTGAGGGATCCAAGTTCCATGCCACTGATTACAGCCAAGAGATTCGATTGTCACTGTAGTGGTGGTATTCTTGTGTGTGTGTGACATTCTAAAGGATGCTCTTGATGTTTCTGAGGTTGGTCGACTAGCCTTCGAGACCCAGTTCCACATTTGGGAAATCTCGGCTGCTGGGCACTGCTGGGTTGCACATGGTTGCACCTGTGCCGGGCGAGCGAGACTCACTGAGGTCACTGAGGGAGTGGATGCGTCAGCACGCCAAGTTCATGTGCAAAAGCCAGGCGTGGGGCACTGCCTTTCCACTCCGCCTCCTTTGGGATTGCGCTGATTTTAGTTGAGTTGCCGCATGGTTCTGATGGGTGCAACTGGAGCTCAGTTTCGCTGCAATCTGTGGCCAGGTAAGATTCACGGAGACAACCTGGTGATAGTACCTAGCAACAATGGAGAGGTGCGGGATGCTGCACACAGTCATGAGATGGACCTGAAGCCAATCGTTGCTCGCACATGTCCCCAAATTCCTCGTTTCGAGGCTCTCCGCATGCAAGTGCAAGAGGAGCAGAACCTTTGGATCACTATTGCGGAGCGGAATGCTAGGCCCGCACTGTCGGGTCTCAGAATTCAATTTTGGGGATTGGAGATGATTGGAGAACATATATATGGCACGTCAGCTGCAGGCGGAAGGGCAAGACATATATTTATATACATTTATATACATATATGATAGGAGAACATCTATGGTGTGGGTCCGCCCCCCCGGTGTCTTCAGCCGGGCTTTCTCCCATGACAATGCCCAATGGAGGTCCTATAGTTATAAAGGCAAGTGCTATAGACATAGATTCAGTCCACTCATTTGAAGAATGTTTGATTTGCTCTCGCAGGTGGGAGACGGAGGTGACGAGTCCCTTTCACGCTCCCCGAAACGAGTGGGGTGCGACCTTCGCGTCGGCCAAAATTCTCGAAGAGGCCGAGTCAAAGACGGCAGGTTTGCTAGACAGGTGGCAGCAGGTGTTTGGTTTCTTTTAGTTGGACATACCACTACCCGCGCATTCGCCCGGCTTTGGGTTGCAGCAGGACTGGCGGCATGCGGATGACCAGTTGTAACTGGTTTCAATTTGCTTCAATAATATAAATATTGCATGTGATTGCTTGGGAGATTTCGCTCAAGTTGCCAATAGACTTCTGAGGGTACGTGCCGACAAGAAATATGCAGTGTTCGAGGAAGTGCAGAGCTCAGCTGGACTTGGTGTCAGCGATTGGACTGCTTGGCTCTTTGAGTCTTTGATCATGTCCTTCTGAGATCCAAACTCACCTGCGTGATGCCCTACATGATGGAGTCTATGAAACCAAGAAGGAGGATTTGGATGCCGCAGTCGCCCACCGTGCCTGGGCCAGTGCGTGTTTGTGTGTATCCAGGGATGTTCGTATGATGCATGTCCTGAGGAGATGAATGCCGATATGACGCCATGATTGCTTATCGCGATCCTTGGCTTTCTGCATGCACCCATCGCACTCAGCCATGGAAGAGTATGACATTATGATCACTGATACTTTGATGAACTCTTCAAGTTACATCCAACCCCCCTAGACCGGCTGCAGGCCTTCGAAGAGCACGCTGCCACTGCCAGACGCAACACTTACAACTGGCATGGTGGCGCTTGGGCTGCAGCCGGTATCTGTACCACAATTCTGGAAATTGACATCTCACTTTATTGTTACCTCTCTCCACTGCCAGGTCGTCGGCGGATCGATGCGGTGCAATTGGCGCGACAGCGCATGGAGCAACTAGAAGAGGGTAACAAGCTGAACATGGACCTTGAAATGAAAGTTTTGGCGGAACAACATTTCAAGGTGGGCCTTGAACCCTGAGCCGTTTCACACAGGGATTGAGACAGAGAGGATTGTTCATCTGTTTTTTTTGATCGAAGTATGGACTTTCTGGGTGCGCCAGAGAATACTATACAGCTGAACTTTCGTGGATTGGTAGATAGGCAGCAAGCGACCTGTCCTTTGAGACACGAGGTGGTTCACTCAGAACGACCGAAGAAGATGAGCAAGGACAATAAGATCAAGGCTTCTCAACTTTGGCCTTTGATCTCGACTCCTTTTCTCTCTCGTTTCGCTGTGTGCGTGAATTCGTGCGAAACTGTGCGCAGGTGGTTGTGTACAGGAACAAGATGCGATCCGCTGATACGGTCAGTGACCTAGGCTTTGCAACGCGTCTCGCATTCTTTGGGGAGGACGCTTGCGTCTTGGCCTCAGGAGTGGCTGAATCAGCGGGATCTTGGGCAAGCGCCCGGAGAAGCAGAAGAGGACCTCCGCCGCACTCGAGATCGCCATCGAGCACAAGAAAAAGCCGAGCAGCTCGGTCTTACAACTTTGCAACTGAAATTAAGACGATTATAGGGGAGGTTGTCTCTACAAGGGACAAGGGCCTTTTGAATCATCTCCAATTGTGAAAGGGCAATGCAGAGCAAAGAGATGAAAAGTATCTAATTAGGTTTACGGAGGCCAATTATGGGTTCCAGCCTTGACAGAGTCAAAGTAGTCGCTTCATTGCTTTCCATTCATGTTTTGTCAAACAATTTTCCAGCAATCCATTTGTGCATCCCATACACGGCGTATATACATAAATATTGATAAGTTATATATATATATATATAATTACTATAGAACATATATAAGCCAAATTCCCTCAATGCCACGTCAATCCTGCATTGTTTGCTGTCCATTAGTTTTTGGGCCATTGAATTAGGGCGTGCATAATGATGTAATATGTGTTGCTGCTGCCTGCTGCTTTCCTGGTTGTTTCCAATGTCATTTGTGGTGCTTCACCCAAGGACCCGAATTTATTTCGAGAAGATGGCACGGCTTTGCGCTCTTGCTCACCAGTTGGCGCCGGAGATGCTGCCCGAGCTGCGGAAACATACCGTTCCCTGGTGTATCCAATTGTATTCCACGAATTCATGAAAGATAGAAGGAGAGGGAGAAACAAGTGGATTTCATTGAACTTCCGGACCTGGTGGTTCCATCCTGAGATGCAGCCATAGAAATTCCGAATATCATTGTCTATACAGTCTATACAAGTCAATGGGTTGGCCATGTGGTTGGTTGTGTGGGCACTGAACTTGGTGGCCACGATTCCTGGAGATTGTTTGAAGCCTACAACCTGCAGAAAATCCTTACCCAACAAGACAAGACCAGTGACAATTTGATATTGTGAAATTATCCAAGCGCTTCTGCACCAACCTTTGATTTTGGCAGGGCACATTCTTCTGCTGAGGACAAGTCGCTGGAGACTAGCTTGAGAAAGCTGATCCTTGGTCGATTGGAATTGCTAGATTTGCCAAAGGGCGTGCCTTGTATTGTGCTGGCCCACCATGTTAGAGGTTGTAGACAATGGTTGTCAACATGTAATTGTATAATACAGGATTCATTTCTGCGCTCTGCGCATGTGACCTTGTGTGTTTGTCAGGAAGCCACAAGATCAGATTGAAGTTCTCAAAGTCTTGGACCACAACATCAGCATTTCTCATTATGCGCCTTGGACTGTTTTTGAAGATTGATCGCTCAAAGCCAGTTCCAAGTTCCAGAAACGCGGGTTCCCTGCCCCAACGAAAGAATCTTAGGGAGAAAGGGGGCGAGGGTTATATCTTGTGAACTGGACAGTGCTTTGAGGATCCAGAGCAGCTTTCTCAAGCAACGCCTCTTTCCGGTTCGGGAGCGCGGCATGCCGTCTATGAGATGAGGCAGCTTGGTTCGGTGGCGTCCAGCCGACCGGACAGTGCGTTTCAATCCGGTCTGCAGACCATTTAGTTCCTCAGCACCCTGAACAGCTTGGCTCTTTAGTGGCAGAGTTTAGCAGATCATGGCAGATCTTGGCTATGAGCTGCCTCTTCCCCTCTTCAACAAGTGTCAATCCTAAAATATCCTAAATGGACAAAGCGTTTGGCCATGCGTCATGCATGCTGAGAGCAAGCAACGGTGAGTTTCAGGTATGAGGGCAGCCCATGCGTGGTGAAGGTTTTCGATCTGCACACTCACAGAGGATTACCTGGTTTCATCCAGGAAGTGATGCTCCATGTGAGGCAGGGGCTCAAACCATATACACTTATACACATAGAAAAATTTTCTATTTCTATCATTCACATATGCGAGCCGCCCCCCAAACCTATACTTTGACCAGGCCCTTGAGGTGAAGGGTTGCTTGTCAGATGTGTGGGTGATGCCAGATGTGTAAGGTCAGTACAAGACACAAAGATCAGCAAGATCAGGGTTGTTTTCCTTGCATGCTTCCCGTTTTTGTTGGTAGTCTTCTCTATTATTGTAATATCTTCTTGATTGTTTGGCTCTACAACTGTCGCAGGTCTTAAGCCCTTCAGTAAATCTATCCAATGTGCTGTTATTCTGACATCCTTTGCAATACTGCCAACGTATCCATTACTAGGTAATTATATATATATCATATATCATATATATATACCCACTATTTCTTTATTTTGGGTTTTATATGGTGTTATACAATAAACACACATATGTGTTAAATATTCATTCGCGACGACTATTACATCTATGACAGTAAGCAATGCAGTTGATATACTGCCCCTTTTTAATATCTAATCTAAAATCCACATCCACAGTAGTGATATTCATTGGTTATATTTTCCATAAACCATTGGGCATTAATACAACCTTCCTGAACTATTTCCCTTGTGCCCTTTTTATCATGTAATTTATATTGTTCAACCTTCCTTTCAACATAGCTTGTGATACATTGTTTATTAAATTCATCCTCAGTATCATCATTGTAGTTTAAAAACTCAACTCTACTTAAAACCCGAGCTCGTGTGATTGCCGTCCACCGCCACTTCCCATAATTTCATATCACAAAGTGGTTGCAATCAAGGATACCTGGGGCAGAATGACAAGTAAAGCACGAAGCAAATATGATTTATTCCTTACATAATCTTTAATCAAACCATTGACCTCCTGACTTTTAAACATGTATCACATACTGCTACTAATATCCTTTGCAAATACTGTTTAGTAGTATCCACTACCTAGAATTTATCCCCGCTATTTCTTTACATACTTCTGACATATAGAGTAAACATGTTTAATCATATATTTTATGAATCTTCATTTTACAAACATGTAGTTTTTTTGGGGTACCATGTATATACTGTATATATATGTGGATTTAGACTTACAGCAGATTCAAATTCGGTCTTCCTGAGGCAGCAGGTAACTCGGGAAGGTACTGATGGAGATTTGGGCTAAGAACCTGTAGTCAGCGCAAACATCACATATCTCAAAGTAAAGGCAGGCCAGCTTTTGTTGGGACTCAGCCCTTCAGACATCAGAAGTGGCCACCAAACCGTAGGCTCCGACATCCCTTGGTTGTTCCACTGCGCAGAGCCTTCATTGACCACAAGGACGGGCAGGCCATGGAACACCAAGAGGGTTCTGAAGAGGCTGGATGGTTGAATAGGGAGCCCTGTGTCCCTGTGTGAGGTTTTACCTGCAGTGGGAATCCTCGCCTAACTAAATCCATCAAATGCAGAAGGTTTTGAGTTTTGAGACACTATCCTCAACAGGAGCATCGTGGCTTCCTACAATTTGATCGCTACGACTGCAATCTCGGAGAACACTTGTCAAGGCTACTCAGACAACAACGTGTGTGCCGGTTTGCTCTTTCTCCCCGTCCACAGGGCTGCCATTGCTCAGGATCAGCCGCCCCCAGCGCGTGCCGCACCGTTTTGGTGAGCCGGCGACGGTGGGGGTGGTGGACCAAATGCCGCGGCGCATTGCACACCTCATGATCCAATCCATTGCGCATGTTTCTCGGATTTTCTTGGGCCATGCGCGGGGTGCGTTGATGGAGAGGGATCGAGAGGGCAGGGCGATGTGGAAGGGCCGCAAGATGAGCAAAATCGTGAGGATTGCAGCGTGGGCGTAGGACTTCTTCGTTTCCACGATCTGTCGATCCAAGTCTGTGATCCGTAGGGATCAAATTGCATGCTTCGTTTGTGGAACGTGAGATTCCACGAAATCATGAATTCATGGAATCTATGGCGTGGTGTGGGCAAGTTAAACAACTTACTTACTTGACAAGCTCGACGAACTCCACAAATTCATACAAATTCTATCAAATTTCAGATTCTCAGTGTCAAGGTCCACTCGCATGGCATCGTGCATGGAGATTTGAAGCCCAGCAACTGGCTGTACGATGGAAAGAACAAAGTCCCGATCCTGTGCGATTTCGCTTCTTGGCATCGATGGCCGGTGGGCACGATCACGTCCGGGGTCACTGGATGTCGCTGGAGATGCCGAAGCAGCTTCCACAAAGCCCAATTGAGCTGGTTTTGGACCAAAAACTGCTCCAAGGAGACTGCCAGGGACCATGACGTGGGTGTCACGGTGACCTCGAAGATCCAAAGCCAGGGCTTTCAAGCGCCAGAGCTTCAGGACATGGCGACGCAATGCGACGCGGGTGACACATTTCAAAGCGGGGGGGAAAGTTTTACTCAGAACATCTCAGAACCAACTTTTGTAAAAGCAGGAATGCCCTGCCCACGTACTCGGTAGTCGAAAGCTCCTGCGGATTATAGGATTGCTCCCACCAAAGCGTTCAGCGTGCGCGAACGGCTGGCGACAGGACCCCTCGGCTCGACCGACCCTAGAATCTGATGTGTTCGCGCCACTTGGAGCTGCAAGAGGTCGGTTGGGGGGAGGTCAGCGGCCTGGCAATTCCTTTGCCCAGCCAACACTGGTCATACCTTTACATTACAAAACGATGCTCCGCCGACACTGTTTCGCCACTCCCTCGGCCAACTCACCAGACTGATTAGACACGGTTGATTGAAGAAGCCACCTCTTCGCATATGAACTACCCAGTCATGCATATCAGGCAAGCCATGGTCTCCGATTCTTCACCCATGATTAGTGCAGGGGCCAAATTGAATGCATCGGAGATTGGTGCTTGCTTCAGCACCATTACCTCAGATTTCTTGATTGATCCTTGCTCACTCCCCCACGCTCACTCCAGCGCCATTTCTGCCAGGTTGGGACGCAGCATCCAGAACGTCCTCAGCTGCGTGCCCGAGTCCAGGCCTTCGGAGAAGAGCGAGCTGCACAGCTTCGCGGGGAGACTCAGACCCAGGTGGTCCTGAGCTGATGCACTCAGCGATGAAGGCGCAAAGGGGTTCTTGATGGTTCTTGTTTGGATGAAATTTATGTAATATAGTGGTATACCACCCCGGCATTCTGCAATTGGCATCATTTGGTTCAAATTTGGTTCACCAGTTTCACAACGCTTGATTTGAGCTGAGGGCCAACAGAGGCAAAGATCCCCAGAGACCAAAGGGAACTGGATGAAGCAACCATAAGCAGGTAGGTTTGAGACCTTGTTCTGTACAGCCGTGCAGGGCTTTTGGGTTTAAAGTGTTGTGTGTTTATTGAGATTCTCGGAATTCTGAAAAAAAGACACATGTGAGGCGCTTGTCTCCTGTGCTGAAGGTCTCGGGTTGAATTTCAAATCGATAGTTTTGGACTGTAGACTCAGACTGGCAGTCCTTCAAGAAGGCATTGATGTGAACGTGTTTATGGTTTTTGTATTTTATGCTTATGGGAAGTGAGTGGGATGACGCGCGCGCCGTGATTTTGCAAATAGACTGACGGCCCAACATGGAGATGTCGTTACAAGTTCAGGACACAGAACACACCAAGATGACTATAAAATTGACAATTAGTCTTAAAGAGACCACAACATTTCAATAAAAGTTCCTCATGTCTCATGTTGGTCAAGATGGGATAGCAGTTGAATGCAAGGAGTGTTGGGAACGAGCTTGTGTCCCCGCGTGGCCCAGGTCAGCAAGATGGTTTGCCAAAATCCCATGGAGCGCATCGCAGCAAAAGACGCCGCCCAAGACTCTTGGCAAAGGGAAGAGTTATGTACCATGGTGAAAGCGTTTTCTCGTGAACAGGCTTGTTCCGTGGAAAAAGTAAGATCTGGTATTGCATCACGAATGTTTGGCAAACCTAAATGCAAACTGAATATCATTGCCGTGAAGGCTTGGTGGCAGGAAATGCTTAGCTGCACCTCTGATGGCTATGAGCACATTGTAAGGGCCGACGAAGTCCTGTACACGCAGGCCAGGCGGCCAGCCATTTCAAGACAGCAGATAAGAAGTGCTTAAACAAGACCAGCCAATACCAGCCAAATGAGTACAGCTTTCAAGCACGAATCTAGTCGAGCAAAACACTTCATGCAGAATTGTTTCTTTTGGCCAGAATCACTAAAACAGGACGGGCGCTTACTTTGTCAAAGGGAAAAAACAGGGTCGGATACGAGTTGCTTGTACCAAAGGCTTATGGACCTTAATTGCCCCAAACCTGGACTGCCTTACTTTGCTTCTCGGATCCCCATGGCCAAGCTTGGGTGCCCAACTTCGGGGTCTTCTCTGCCAAAGGGAAGAAACACCGGTCACTGGGCACGGGTACTGCCCAATGTGACAACCTTTGCTTTTGGATTCTCCGGTCCACAGCTACCCCAGTGCTTACAGGCTGAGTGCAGCCCGCACTTCAAGGACAAGAGATCGCTGCAACAGCTCATCGATGTCTCCCGGATGGAGGGACTGGATCCATCCGTTTGGGGCTGGGAACTGCACCATCCTGATGCGCCGGTGCCATGCTTTTTCTATCATCATTACTTTGACTTGCGTTCCTGTTTCAGGGTTTGTTGCTGTTTATGGTGTGGGTCCGTTTGTTTTCCGGGCTATTCCTCAGCATGTTGGAATCGAGCTGTGGATGCCCACCCGCCACTTTCAGGCTATCATGAAAGATCCAGAATACCCCTTGAAGGATGACCGCTTGATCATTGATGTGGTGAAGAAAGGCGAGGATCTTTTTCTAGTCTCTCTCTCTATATTATATACAGGCTTATTAAGAGAGCGACTTGGGGTGTTTGCATACGTAGCCAGGCTCAGCCCTCTTGAGCGTGGACAATCGCCGGCTGTACTGCTTTCATCAAGCTCAACGCCAGCTGCGGAATACAACTGCCGCTCGACAGAACGCATATTATGGCTTGGTTGATCTTGAGTTTTAATATGCTTCAGCCGGCTCTGTGCCAGAACAAAGTGGATCAGATGTAGACCTTCTGCCGAAAGAGGCACTCCTCATATTCACTCAGCTCGGTGCCTTTCTACCTTTTTTTGGTTTCCTCCGATAGGAACATCTGAGGTTTGGATCAAGATCAGAGAACATCCGCACAGCATGGTCTCTAGTCGTGAGATAGGTCGGGAGTGAAACAGGAACGCGTGACTACAAGCAAGTTTGTGCGGCTTCGTGACCAATGAATTTAGCATAGTCACAGCATGACAAAACCGCATAATCGCAGAAAAGGAGATGCAGTAAAGTGTCAGAGAGAGAGCTAGACACCTAGACACTTCACTGTTAGAGATGCGTCTGATAGTCGTGGCATGGCTGAGGTCCAGGAGCGCTTTGTGCGCCATTTCGAAACCACAAATGGTGGCAAGTCTATCCTTGTGCGCATGCCTAAAATGTGGACAGGCCGATTGCAATTTTCACCTCAAACAGGCATTTTGAGGACGCTTTCAACTAAACGATGCAAGACCGCCATTTGATTTTACAGAGCGCTTCTTTCAAGAGATGTTCTGTTCACTGTTTACGTCATGTGTGAAAGGCGATTGGCAGCCCGGCCAAAACCTGCGGTAGCTCCGAGACTCGAAGGGCCCGAAGGGTATGTCTACACAGACATACCAATAGCGCAAATAGACTGGCACAAGGCCAGGTCGAAGCGGAGGCTGGAAGCCGCCTACATGATAGATATGGAAGCAGCAGGCTGTCGGTGAATGCATTCATTGATTCGGTGTGTAGAAAGGACTTGGAGCGCCAGCCGAATGCCGGCACGGGCAATAACCTGCAAAGCCAAGCCATGCTGTTGGTTTCCAATGCCTCCCATTGTTCGTAGAAATTGCCTTAACACCTTGCGGTGTGCCGAAGACCTAGAAAACTTTGTTGCAGACGTTTAATGCGCTTGCGCGCAAGCGTTCAAGGAGTTCGGTGCTCCACTGAAGGCAGGTCATTTTACTGTGTCACGTGGATGGATGCGGAGAATCGCGCAGCAAAATAGGAGTCCTGGACAGTGCGGTTTTGCGCAGGTGTTCCTTCAATGCTCAATTTTTTGAATGCACGCAGTGCCCCAAACAGGCCTCATGTGGGTGGGTGGTCCATCTTAATCCTAGACTCTGAAAGCTGTTTCAACATCTAATCGCACTGAGGTGATTATCGCTCAGGGCGTCTTTGGCACGATCCCCTCTGCAGCTCAAAGCTTCACCACAATGTACCTGCAGCTTGGTGCACCATTGGATTCAGGATGCGTGTGGTTCCGCCATATGGTGGAGTGGGGTGGAAGGTAAACTTGAGGATACCTTGAGAGCTCAAAGCAGCATAACTGAAACATGTTCTCTGAAGCTTGCCCTTTGGTCAATAAGCTTGGCCCGCATCAGAGCCTGATTGCCCTAGCCCGCTACACGAGCGCATGAAAGAGCGAACCTCCATGTTCTTTACTAGCAAGACTTCAACATACTGCAACCATACAGTATTCCCTACTACTAGTACCCGAGGAGAAGCAATGTTTTCTTGCAAGGGCACTATGCCAACAAATCATGCACGTAACATGTGAGTCATAAACCGAAGCGCAAGGCCTCGAAACACAACCGACACCGCACGAACCGAACGTCGGGTGCATCGCTGGTCACGCTGCGACTTGCATCGATGAAGTCCGCGACTCGCATCACGGCCCATGGCGCCGTCGTCGGGGCTGGGCGGCATACTCGCGTGTACCGTGGCATGCCTCGCAAGCTGCTTGGCACTGGGCGCAGACGCCTTCAGTGTCGAGGAGAGAAGTCGGGATGCTGGGCCATGTGGTTTGATTCTTCATTCATCTTCATGTTTTCTTTTTGCCTCTCCGAACTTCCGCCCCATGCGCCATTGCTGTCATAGGAGTTTGGTGCCGATAGCCGGTTGTGGCACTTGAAGACGGTGGCAAGGTTCGCCGTTCGCCCGGACGTTGGGCAACCTGGTGAGGGAGCGGATGGTGTTTGCATGTGGACTGCGCTCAAAAAGCCCTACTCAAAAAATATAGATAAACGTAAACTTTTAAGGCTGTAGATGTGTTTTTAAGTTTTTGTTTGGAAGCGGGCCCCCAGCAGAATATGGTGATACAGCAAGGCAGCGCTAGATTGGCGCTAGGTTGGCGCTAGGTTTCTTCATAACAGGATAGCAAGCAGGAAAAAGAAGAAACAAGCAGAGAGCAGGAAACAGAAGAAGCAAGACAAGAAAAAAAGCCAAGAAGAAGAAGAAGAAGAAGAAGAAGAAGAAGAAGAAGAAGAAGAA